CTCGTGTCGCCGATACTCGGCTATCACACAAGCCTCCTTGTGTATCCACTACGATTCAGGATCGTGTCAGTAAACGCGTGCTTCCTATACGATTGTTGTTTATTTTATTCTTCTTTATCGATGACGATCGATTTGATCGATCGTGTCATTTTATATAGCGAAAATGATACACTTAAATAAAGAATGAATTCTATTATGTGTTCTAATATTACCATCGTATTGATCAAGATCGATATATAATTCCAATTGAATAACTATTAAATGATTAAATGAAATCGACTGATATTAAATACATTCGCATTCGACGTATAACGATAGTTGTATTAGTCAAATCTTGCTGAAAATCTCATCTTAGTATAAAATACTGTTCACCTTACTCGTGTCAGGAAAGTGTAAATCCAATAATAGGCATGACTGAATGTATCACAATCGATCAATTTACGTTAGCAATAAATATAACCACAAATAGGTTTAACTACCCTTCCACGTCACGATTATCAATAAGTATAGCAGGACGATTTAATGAATCTCTCATGGGAGGTGCACCAACGAGAGCTACGGCCCTGACACGTGCCTCGTGCCACGTACGACAATATGCACGTATACGCCAACTGTGTGTTAGTTTCTGACAGCCTCTCGTTGGTGGGAGAGATGTGATATCGGTAGTGGGGAGAGAATCGAGTGTGTATTGATAGAGGGTGAGGACAGCCGTAGCTTCGGTGTAGGTAGACGCGTGACGTCACGCGTTCCACCAGCTGGTTAGGAGACGCGCCACTCTCCTTGTTGCCATGCCCGTGTTTTTGCTGTGATAACACGAGAAGAGGGGAAGGGGCCCGTGTGTACTTGCGGGACCTATGAACTTTTGAAGCACGAAGCAGCGTCATTCGAAGGTGCAAGTGTATACTGAAACTTTGCGTTTATCCAAGAATCTTTACTCATTATTTTAAATTACCGATGGATTATTAACTGAATAAGAGTCTTTATAATTAAGAATTATCGATAATAAAAATTGGAGAATATATCTGACATTCTTCTAAATTGATTTGTCAAACTTCAATTTGATCGATTATCGATTGGTAGCTTCTTGTAAACGAGACGTATCTATAATTAAGTGCACTCAAGCCGATTAAAGCGCTTCTGTTGCGTTTAATTAATACGTGACTCGCTGTTCGATCTTTATGTATCCCAGTAGATTATCATATTATTCGACACGACAATATTGAAGACCAGAATTTGTCTTAATTTTAACTATGGACGGAGAAAATGTTTGTCACTATTGAGATTACTCCGAGCATAATCATTCTCTATTTCTAGCTGAGCGTCCTCGCGGATGCGTCAGAGAAACCCATCTGGTTCGCTTATTCTCGATCACGATTATTCCAATCTCGAGAGTCGCACTTTTCGGGTATTATTCATCATCCTTGACAATTTTCTTCCCATTATTCCTTGTAGTGATACCATATACTGTATCTTACGACGATATTCGAATTATTCGTTCATTAAATACATACGTAAAATCACTATATTAAAGATATAGACATTGAAATCTAACTTAACAAATAACGCTTGAAATTGTCGCACAACTTGCAGGCCCTTACGCGAGCCCCTCGTAACCTGAGGAAATAGAAAACACCTGGTAGATATCCGATTCCGACGCTCTTCGTTGCAGATGAGGGCCGTTTTCGATCAGCGTAAATCGATTTAGTCGTCTCCATGAAAACAATGCTTCCTAATCTTTCGTTGATTCTTGACTTGACAAAATAAGTTCACGCGATTACCATGTAAAAATTTTAGGTTATATGTTTCGAGCTGGTATATATTTTTATGTTACGTGTATGATAGCAGTTTCAATACGGTTAATATAAATATCACGAAATTGTAGTAGAAATTTTTATAATACTTATATTACATATATTAGATCATATAACATAGAGACAGATATCTATGAAAATTATTTGCTCGTATGTAGGAATCCAGTAAACGTGTTAATAAATAAATTTACGTTCCCATTTCGAATTGTGAAATTTTGTGATACGCGAGTGTAAGATACAAATAAAATTCTTGATAAAACGATTTTCAGAAAAAGAATGACCTGTTTTAATGTGAAACGCTTGGAAGACACACACGACATTAATGACGTTAACGTGCGTAGGATTTCCCTGAAGGCGCGTATCGCGTATATAAGCGTGACGTAATGCAGACATTAATAATTATTGTGGCATAATGATTGTGACGCGCGTGACCGCCACCAACGGCAGTGGTATTTATGCCCACGCCGATGGAAAGTAACGCGTGCCTAAGGGAATTCATAAAATCGAGCAAAGCGACACAGCAGCCGATCTCTGAATGCCTACACTTTTGGATTCCTTTGAATTTCTACCATTGTGAGCGATGCTTAGCATTCTAAAGATGTCACATGGTTCGGTGATCCCCGAGACTCGGAATCATCAATAGCTCAAGTATGTTACTTGTTTCTTCGTTCGTATGCATCTACGGCTCTAAGCCGAATATATACACCACAAATATAGCTTTGCAAACTATTGACATGTTTGAGATGTTATCGTATAAAAAGGAAACCATACGGCGCCCTCTAGTTATTATAATGAAGTATTTTCAAAGAAATTGTACAAATATTTGTAGTAAATTAGTCTTCTTCAAAACCTAACCTAAATTAAATTCTAATTCATCGTTTTAATCGAGCTACTGACGATGCATATATGTTGAAAATCTTAGTGGTGTAAGTATAAGAATATCTATTATTTCTGGTTTACAACTCCTTAAAGGGTACTACCCTTTTAGTTGATAAACAATCAAGATGTTATCTCATTGTGTGAGCAACATGTTTTTCTTATATACAAAGGATATAGATTAAGCTTTTTGTAGTAATAAAATATAAAAAATATCAGGCAACTGACTTATACAATGATTGTACAATATTCATAGTTTCATAATAACGATCACCACGTCTTAGTAACTAGCATCTTTTTATTCTTGTCAAAAACTATCATACATTATAAAAAAGGGTGACAAATTGATAACGAAGTTCAGGTAGTGTATTATATGATTGGTTAACTGACAGAAATTACGCGCGACAATGATTGTGTGTGGACCAGCGGCTCGCGGAAGGTCAGTGACAGAAAAACGAGATCACAGTTTCTGGGGGCGAAGCCCAGTCATCGCCCTCCCGAAATTTCGATTGGCGTCGCGCCCGCAGCGCCACCTGGGCGCTAGTCCGCTACTCGTCTCGGCTCGAAACTCATTCCAGAAGTGAACGAACGCGGATGCGCGTACGCACGGTTCCTCTATTATACATTTCCATCGTAAAGGTGCGTTTAGGTACCGGCTATTAACCCCTTTTTACAGGCCAATGCGATTACAAGCGATTCGAATAAGAGGAAAAATCTCACATACGTTTTCGCTAATTCGTTAAAACACCGTTACCACAATATAAATAATCTCCTTTTTTTCCGAGTAGTATAACATATAGCGGCTACAAAAAGCATTGACACGCCATAGTATATTTCTTATATCATTCGCATACTAATTAATTACATTCAAATATATTAAACTTTATATCATTTAATAATATATACTTTCATACGACTACGAAAAAATATTATAAAAGCGAAATGTAGAATCTGATATGTAGCAATACTTCTTCTAGTCATTATACGATAGAGAGAACGATAATGACTTCAAGTTCATAAAAATCCACGTTACAAGCGGATAGAAATCGAGAAGTAAACGTTAATTATACCTAAAGTTCACGGAAAGATTAAGTTGCCATTACACCCTTTAATAAGCTTTGTCACGCACCAAGCTGCGAAAGCCACAACCTACGGCGATATCTGACCAGTATACACTTGAAAACGAAACATTCTTGCTATGAATACTTTGTACAGGACGCTATTAAAAAACGAATTGATGGTATACTTACCGAGAGAACAGTGAAAAATGATTAATTAATGGTAATTATGTTGATTCTTCCAATATTATATCAAGTTTTATATTTCCCATATTTTTCACTTAAGACAATATTTAGATCAAACTGTCGATACAAAATAGATAAAGGTAAATAAATAAATACCTATAGATAAATAGATATAGATAAATATAAATAAATAGATAAATAGATACCTGCCTTGAATCCTCTCGATTTCTTTTTATAGCGTCACTTAAAGACTGTAATCGATTCATTGCTGATAAATTTACTACAACAAGTCTAAACAAAACTTGACATAACAAAACTGTACATTGATTAGACATCTTTCTTTTTACTTCTCTCAGTGAGTACTGTCGGTTCACAAAGTCTGGCTCCATATTTTATAACACTTTGTATATCGAGGACTATTCAATATGAAATTCGTACTTTCTTCTGAAACATATACTTTTATCTTTTCTGTTTCCCAATTAAAATTAACCTATACATAATAAGTCTCCATATTTATATGATACGTGTATTGTTGAACGAAGATGCGGTTCAATTTATACACAAGACCGATAAGTGAGGCGGCACGCGTTCAACGTCTTATTGAATCGAATTCAAGCTGCGCGGTGCGTGACTGTCGGCCACCGATTACGCGCACATGTCGGTCCGACCTAAACGCACCTTAATAACACATTCACCGCTCCGCTATTTTCGTCCACGGATTCACCATAGAATGAGATCAGTGCGCTAAATTTACTACGGATCCCTCTCTTTGCGCGCTGGAATGTTATCCTCCCTCTCCCCCCTCCCTTTCTCTCTCTCTCTCTCTCTCTCTCTCTCTGTGCTATGCTCGCTGGATGTTGCGCGGCTTTCATAGACTCGTTTTAAATCGCTGTAACCGTCCTCACTGCCGTGGAAACCAACCCATCAGGGCTGTATCCAGTATAGCATATGTATAGTATATGTAGTATACGATCACCCTTCAGTTCGTAAAAGGAACTTTATGAGAAGGATCCTTTTTCATCGTGTATCGTTTCCGACGTGTTTGAAGATAAATTGTAATTTTAACTCATATTTGCAAGCATATATGTATACACGAAACGACTGGTTCATCGCGTATTATGTATATCGCGTGCAACGAGTTATGGGAAACGCGTTTGCTTGCCAACAACGTATTTATTAGCGGATCGCGCTGTCTAGTGACATTTCGATGATACAATTGATCGAACTGATTTCACAATTCGCGATGATCTTCGCGAAAACTCGTATGTTACATAAAACAGTTTTAAATTTCAGTAACATTATAATGTGACACGACATGACTGTCACTATTATGTTGGTCAAATTTGGGACCAGTTTGAAAATGTATATAGAAGTTACGAAACATTTGTTACATCACGTATGTAGTTAAAAATCACTATACAATACGAAGAGCCATTTTAAACATATATGTAACAGTTATTAAAGATGATTCCACTGAATATTAAAGTTTATTAATATAATGAGTAATTTTGATTGTTTAAATATATACACCAAATATCTTGTAGTTTCTGTATACATTTTTAGACTTATCTTAATTTTTAGCGACAGAACCATAATTGTGTCTTATTATAACGCTACCAAAATGTTTAAATATTCGTAACTTGTCGCCATATTAAATTTTAAGTTCATTACCGACTTTATCGACTATGCACTGGTAAATGTCTAAACGCCGAAAAGCATGGATGGCTTTAAACGAAGGCGTCTAAAAATGAGAAGCAACTTCCTCGGGGGAAAAAAGTCTGTATATACACGCGTATGTGTTTACTAGTTGCCTGAAAAAGATGCTCGTCCGCGGTGCGTTAAATACGCGCACGTGCGGGTCTAACGAATTCAGTGTGCGTGCGGTTAAGTGTGTATCGCCAGTGCGTTTGCATGGATAAGGCTCGGTAACTGCGCTTACAAAAACAAGACAGGGTCTACGACACGTTCCATCCAAGACACGAGACCTAAGAAGAAAGACACGTATAGGGTTATTTTTACTCTTTTCCACTAAGAACAGACGAGAGCTACCGGTTGGTTATTTTTCAAGAGGAGAATTTATATTATCGACTGACTGCTTAGACGAGCATGACTGAATCGCTAACTATTTACATGGAATTCACGTTGAAAAGTGCTACATGATATGACGAAACGCAACGTAGAGAGTATAAGGACTTTTTCGAAGATCATAAAAGAGATTATATGTACTATATGTATGTACATGTGAGAAGCGTGCCTTGAGTAATCGAATTGGCCGGTAAAAAGAAATAAAGCTTCCTCTTTTTCTCGTGCGCGTCTGTTTTGTAGCAGGCTGTGTACGTGCGCCTCGTTCTATTATACGTTTCGTTTGTGTACGTGAGTTCGAAATAACTGGACGGATTGTATGTTGCAACCGCATCGTGTTCAAATAACAAAGGAAGAAACGCGCGAGAAAGTGCGTACCTTTTTTTACAACGATAGAAAGAAAAATAACCATCGAAGTATAAAACGTTCAATCGCCGCCATGTTTCTTTTTCGCGCTTTTTCTTTTCGTAAAGAGTATACACCTAGAGATGGTGTATCTATCTGAAAAATATTTCGACGGGATTCAATGAATCGAAAAATCGCGTGAAATATTCTGTTAAAAAAGGGGGAAAGAAAAGTTAGGAATAATATTCCGAGAAAATTGTTTGAACCTTGATAAAATGGTTAGTTGCAAACGATCGTTTCGGTTGATCTGTTGCATTTTGAAGGCCTCTCGCAAATATACCTTCGTCGAATGTAATTTCCTGCGAATTCGATTGCGGATTAACCGATATTGCTTTTCGACTGTAACTTACGGTCGCGGATGCACATTCGAAGAATCGATTAATCTTCGCGAATGTTTCATAGCAGTGAATTCTACCGTGTTTTAACGACGACCACTCTTTTGTTTAATTAAAATGATTAAAAATATACAATAAAAAATCAATAAGAATAAAAATATAAAATCAAATAAGAAACAATTAACTTGGCGTAGCGAAGAAAACATTTGATTGCAATCGCCAAGATGATCAGTTCAAATCTTCATTAAATCAAACATTGCTTTTTTAGAATTATTGTAATAAATTTTGTGATGTTAAGATATTAAATTAGCTGCTTGTAATTTACAGAATAATGTTAGAATAGGGGTGTGTATTATTTCTTCGTAGAATGGGTTCAGGGAATAAAATGTTCTTTGCAACAATCGTGCGGAGTACCGGGAAGCCAGTCGATGGTGGAACCGTGCCAACTAATCCACTCCTTGACGATTTTATTCAAAGGGGTTAGAAACAATGACGGCAAAACGTTTCACGCAATCGCGATACCTTTACCAACCAGTTGTTTTTTCGTCATTCCACCTGATTACAACCATTATTCACGTAGATGATTGAATTCCTAAACAGAAAATTGTTGCTTCTCATTATTCCCTAATTTAAATTTGTATTTTTAATTACTACTAATTTAAGAATTTCTACCTCTTATTACTACTAATTTAGATTTTCCAAAGAATTCATGATTTAAAAAAGTTAAATAATTTAGAAATATTCATTTTAAATTTAAATTAAGATCAATCAGAGGATAATTATTCGTGTCATACCTACTGTAGGTAATGTTCCTTTCTCACATCATTAACTGAAATGTGCCAAACATTTACCAAAAATATACAATAAAAGCAAGATTAAAAAATCAAACTAACCATACCTTTAAATCAATATGGCGTATAGAATATCGATTCAACAACGATTACTCGTGTCATCTGCATTTTATGTAATTTTATGTAAACACTAAATAATATGTTTTGTCTTAAATTAGAATCACAGTAGCGACATATGAAAATAGGGGGCGACAAAGATCCGCGGAGGGAATTTCGGCGTTGTTATCTTTGGCAAGAGTCGCGGAAGTGCACGTTTCGCCTCGCGTTACGACAATTATGGTTAATTGGATTATTTTTCACGCGACCCTGGGAAGCTTTGCCCGATGTTCGAACTTGGTTGCCGCTCAAAGAGATTCAGTACCGAGAAAACCCGATGCTGACATAAAAAAGGGAAAACGTCACCTCAATTTTACATGCTATTAGTAAGAAGTTCACCTAACCTCACCAACGTCCGTTGACGGACCAACGAACTTCTAACATCGTAGAAAACATTCGTTTCAATTTTCAACGTTACAAGAGGAGATTCGTAAAAATGGAATTAACTTTAAGGAGACAGCTTGTACACACATAAATACAAGTCGTATCATGTTTTAGGCGTACATTATTACTTGCAAGTATGTAATAAGGCTGGAATCAAAGTTTCTAATAATAGGTTTTGTATAAATAAATATAAGTAATGTACTTTCATCTTCTTTACTATAGAATACTCATATATTTACATCAATGATAATAGGTGCAGTTGCTTATTTCCTATTAGGCGTTATATTATATTGGTTTAATAAACAAAAAGCAGATATATATATATATATACATATTATTATGTCACATATGTAGGCCTCAAGTGCTAACTTAAGACTCAAAAAAATTCCTCCACTTATAGACCTATCTTAATCTTATTTTTATATTCTAATCTTATACATCTGTTAACGTTTCTAGGTTTGCACGTTGTCATACACATTCTTTATTTTTATACCCTACTTTGTATAGCATATCTTATAAATAATACATATTTGCTTATGAACTGATTATGTTTCATGCGTTCAATAAAAAAAGGTACTTATATGCAATTAGGTACTATGGTTATGTATACATCTAATAGATAACAAATCACGCGATAATCTCGCGTCGAGTGATTTTCAGCGTGACAGTAGTGAAGCTACGTTGATACTGGCTAGCGTCCAGCTTCGTAACAATCGCCTTGACGACAACTTTCTAGAATCTCTGACGGGACACAATTAATTTGTATTTCAGAGCGTTACGAATGGTAATAGAGATGCTATTTGGTAAAAGTAACCGAACGGTAAGGGGGGAATCGTGCGCGCGGGCTCCACAGCCTCGCCGCGTCGAGACCCGATCGGTAATCGATAATCTCTTAAGAAATTAGCACGGATTTGTTTTGTTCGTGTTGCGTTGTAAACCGGAGATGGAATACGAGTTAGAATTAAAAGAAACTCTTACTAACTTGTGCCCGTCGAATTCCTGATTAGAACAATCTCCTTCAACCACCCGCTAAATGAGTTTACCTTACCGATAAAATCGTTGAAACTTTTTTTGAAAATAAAATGTTTAAAACATTTCATTCAAACATACAAACTCTAGCTTTAACTAAAATCAAAGTATGTATATAATTTTGAACAAAATACCTTAAATTTTTAGCAAATAATCATAAATTTGACATGATCAGACGATCCTGGAAGAATAAAAAGGAAGAATCGTGGCCTGCGAAAAGAGGAGGGTAGGTATGCAAGTATGTACTAGGTTGAACGATACTTGAAGCGGCCCACTTTCTTTACTTTCACGCTGCCGATGTTCTTCTTTCGACGCGCTCGCTACTCGGCCTTCGTAACTTGACGATGAGAAAGGGCCTATGGCGGACGCGCATACTTGCTGCTGTTGCACACGCACCATGAGTAACCACTACCGCTACACGAAGCTTCTGTGGCAAGCGTGTACGCCCGCCGTTCGCGACATGCAAGAGTAGCATCGAACAATTTCTAACGGGTTTTTCTCCGCATCCGAGAGTCGAAAGAACACGATGAGTTTCTACACACCGTGACAATTTCAACCATTCCTTTGATAACATATAATAGAAGGTTCTAGGATTTAACATCCAAACTTTGTCGATGTGTTTTATGGATATAATCAAGTAAGAAATTTTATTACAGATATGAGTTATTTAAAGCTTTATAAAACCGTTATAATAATATATAGCACAAAGAGAACAATAATGAACTTGCGGTTATATGCTACAAGACATTGATCATTAGCTGTCGGTACTTTCAAAATGTTTACCGTTCCTGTCGATACGGAAGTGACAGCGATAAAAAAGTTTATTACCTTATGAACCACATTTTGATTTCATTTCATCTTAATGTATCAATCTAATACTTGTTCGATATATCTACCTTTTTTAAAATTGTCCACACATAAAAGTCTAATGGCGCAAAATTGAAGGCGATATTCGATGATAAACTACTGCTTTCTTTGTATTTTGTATATCTGTTATAACTTTTTAGTAAAGCTTTAAACGATCCATGTTTATAAATGTTATGTTTACACATTTTGTTTGAATTTTAGATTACAAATCTTTATGCTGCTGGAATGGCATAATATTGGTTTTTCGGGAACATGTAGCTATTATATTTGTACTTCGAGTCATGCAAGTGCAAAGTGCAAGGTTTAAATGCTACAACTGTACGATTGTTTTCGAAAAGCATATAATGTCATAACATTTTATGTTTGATCATGACACATAACACATTTACAATGTTTGTCTGTTAAATCCCGAGACACCCTACATGCAGAAAAGGGGATATTTAATTAGTTGATAATCTTTCCAATGTACCAACAGAGTAAAAGATGGCCGCGGAAAGAAACGGAAATTGTATCGAAACTGATCAAAGTGCACGCTCTGTTTTTACTCACATGAGAAAGACAATCGTCACTTTTTTATCGACCAGGCGATTATTTCGTAACGCGATAGCATTAACGGTCAAAGTGTCACGAGTTCCCAGCTTATGAACGCTTCTGCGCGGTTATAAATATTTTCATCGTTACAATAGTGTTCACGACAATATATAGTTTATGGCATAACTGGTACGACCACCAGTTCAAGCGTCCTATGTCGATGTCTAAGTTACAACCACAGAAAGAAATCGATAACTATCCGGGAAACGTCGCGGGTAAAAGAAGAAATCACCGGTATGCAAACAAAAGAAGCTGTACTCGGTTAAAAAACAATCGCGGCGCCGCTCATTAATCATACACCTACCTAATAAATGTAGGGAGTCGCTAATCGTTATTCAACGTCCTTGTCGAATGCAAAATAAGCTCGGTCGGATGATCAAAAGACGCGATCTGTCTGGCATTACTGTTATCGTGAACGATATAATAATATCACGTAAGAAATTTATCTCTGCATATTCGCGAATGCACGAATATTAAGTACATCGTAATAAAAGGAGATTTATGAAATGTCCAGTAGCAAACAAAAATATTATCACAAATCAGTATATCTCTTGTAAAATCCTGCGTAGATTTGTAACACGATCTTTTATTTAATTTTTTTTCAAAGATATCACTTTTTAACTAATACTACATTAATTCTAGAAATATTATTTTTTTTTTTTTGGTTCTATATTGGTTCGAAATCGAGTCTAATATCTTGTATCGATTTTACATACAATCAAATAAACGATATGCTTCGCCAATCTATTGCGTATCTTTTACTATCTATTTTTATCGTAAGCCTGATTAACAGTACTAAATTGCGGTATATTTAAACTTCAGATCCAGAAGCTTTTATTATCTATGAGATACCCTGACGTTGAAACAGGATTTTTGATATCATTAATTGAGCGACCTGGCCATTGTTCTTTGGGTTCTTTTGCAAGTGGTTACATGAGATACCAAGTGGATGCCCTTTCGCAAGTTACTTTGTAATTCAACGCAGATCTGGTATGCGCGATAATACCTTTGTTTAAAGTCTAGATCGTCGTCTCGATGCGCGCACAGAAAGAGAAACGGGGCCTTGCATGTGTGTTCGCTAGTCAAACAGATGCGTCGCGTAGCCCTATGAAAGTGGCTATATGCTCTCGGCCAGGACGTAAATAGTTACGAGCCTCGTGCCGTAGAATTTTAAAGCGGAGTTAACGTCTGCCTCTGATACGTTTCACCCGATATTCGACGCGTGCACCGAATTTCCGCGCCGATTTTTTTCTCTGTTTAGTCGCCCTTTATTATCCGTGATTCGAGTTTCATCCGCTAGTCAAACATATAAATCACCGTTAAGTGCGCAGCGATTCCTTGGATCGATGATTAACTTGTGATCGCAACCTGCGCGCCCTCTACTAACTGAGAAAATTCAAAATGGTGAAAGGATCACGTCGATGTTCTTAACATTGAAAATATTTTGAGTATGCTTTGATCTAAAGCATACTCAAAAAAGTTTTTCTCGAAAAATTGCACTTTTCTGATAACGAATTCATTCATTTCTTGTCTACGTCTTTCGAATAAAATTTGCAAAGACCACGATGAATAATAAGGAGGTTATACCATATTCGGTGAATAAGATACATGAAGTTGAATGCATATTCCACTTACGGTTTAAAATTGCTTGGGTATAGAAGGCTTGGGTATATTGTCTTATTAAAAAATAAAACAGAAACCTGTTTTATGAACGAATTCTCGTGTGTTTCTTCTTAATTGTTTGTAATATCTAAATAAAAATAGTATTCGTTCGAATATTTTATTATTTGAAAGAAATTTATAATAAAGATGCTAGGAATTTTTTCAACAACTCGATAATTCAATTTTGGTCGGAGAAGGTATAATATGCGGTATTAAATCTTAGTGGAATTGCGATTACGATAGTTGGACTATATACCGAACGCTCGATGACCGATACATTATCTAAACGGTAGGTTATGTATGTGAGGCTCTATCTATTGTTGACCGAGTGTAGGATGTCGCGAGGGACCGTCTCGACAAAGTCGTAGATAGTTACGTCGATGCCGTTGTTGAATTTTAAGTCAAGAGAACACGCACGTTCGACCAGATGATACATAACACGTAGAATAATGCAGATTAGCCGCGGCAGAAGGAGGCCACTAACGTAACTTTAATCCGTCTGTTACGCAGTTAAAACGAACGTCTACTCTTTACGTAAACTTTTTCTGTCTACTTAATGTAGCTACAAAAAGCATTTACCACTTATCTTTATTTTCCAATGAAGCGCTTTTTAATAGTTTTGAGGTTTAATACATTGAGGTTTTAGTATTCATAATATTTGGCATTCATCCTAATCAGAAATTTTTGTGGTTGTATGAAAGCTAGTATACTATAGTACAGTATAGTATAGTAAAGCTAGTATAGTATAATATACTAAAAATTTAGTATGCTCGAATCGATTAATTAGTATGTAAATGCTATTGGATAAATACAATGGCGTGTCAATATTTCTTACAAATATATTTGAACAATATTTGTATGATATATCTATCATCGCATTCGTCAACTACAAAGATTTCTTATTCGAGATATCAAATACAACATATATGATTTCAAGAAACATTGCCAAACAATTATCAATTCTACATTATATGAGAAGTCCCCATCTTACGTTATAAGAATGTCATTCTATATTTCTCTGTTCACGGACTTTTCCTTTCTGTCATTTCAAAGTTAAAACCGTGTAAAGAATATATATGGTGCGCGCGCGCGAGAGAGAGCAGTTACGTCTGAATCGTCCTTGAATGTAAGTGGAGACAAGGCGCGAACCAGTAAGAAGAATGCGGCGCACGCGGTATAAAGGGACCTTAAAGGCTTCGATACGCGAATGGTCGCGCTCTGGCGAGCGAATCGCGCAACAATTATCGGACAATGACATTTTATCCATATATTACGGTAGATCTATAAAATTCATTACTAAATTCATTAATTCACCAATTGAACGGGCTGCACCAATAAGAAGGCAGTTTCACTTTCTAATAATTTCAATATACTAATAAAAATCAAGTAAAAATCAAGTACTTTATCAAACGTGTAAAATTATAAAAGAACTTTATAACCTACAATTCGTCATTTGCCGATTCACCAATTTTATAACAGTCCAGTTATTATATCTTAGATATTTGGTAAGGCATTAATTTTCCATAGAACTTTATGGCTCTGTTAATTATTTCTATACTAAAAGGCTTTGGACCAAGTAGTTATATCAAAATACACTTTTTTAACCATTAAATGATATCAAAATTTTAAAAGAGTCAACTAAGTTATACTTATTTTCCTTTGTAATCTTCAGGCATATAAATGAATTAGTAAGTGTACTTAAAGTAGTAATTTTATGGCTTTATCCGAAATAGATTCGGATAGGCGGTGGTATCGGTGGCCCTTGTTACCGGTCGAGTAGTCGGGGGTTAATGCGGTTGCCGTGATAATAACTCGATACGTGCTCTGTTCGTAAATCTGCGCGCATATGTTACATCGTTTAGAAGAGGAATGGGGACTGAGGGAGGGAGGAGCGCGAGAAAACCGCAGCAGCGCGACGAAAATCGTATCGAAACGACTTTGGTCTATGAAATTCTATTAGCGATTCCCGATTTAATTGTCTATATGGTACTGTGGCCGATACACGAAAAAGATTTCGTGTGGAGACTAGTTACAATTATATACAGTTACAATTGCAGGGGACGAAACTCTCTCGATTCATCGACCTCTAAAAACGCTTGGGAAAATATTATCGCATCGCTATTCATCCCTTGACCTAGCCCAGCTCACGTTGAATGAGTTTGCGTTGAGAAATTCCCTGTCGCCCTTTCTACTCTGCCATATTTATATTTTTCGCTCGTTTTCTTAGTGCTTTTTAGTTCGTGCATAATTGTTTATATTAAGTTGTATCTATTATTAAATGTTATTAAGGATTCGAGATAATAGCTTGCCTTTGTATGATCGTTAATTTTGGATCAAATTAGTAACCGTTTTTAATTATAGTTGGAAACGAGCGTATATCGAAAAATGGAGTGAGATATACAGATTGGCTAACATCACACGTTACGACTCTAAAGTATACAAAATCGATAGCGGCTAAGCAATCCACTTAATGGCATTCCCTAAGCAGCCGCTGAACGTGATAAATCGAAGGCTGTGGACTATTTAGATACGCTGTAACGATATATCGAACCGTTGCTACAACACTAGATAGAAGGCAGATTAAACAGTAACGAATAGCGTCTCGTTCTTACCTGCAAAAAACTAGACGCTCTCTGTATAATCTACTCAAATCTTCAAAAATATATGTACTTCAAATAAGATGTTGAACCCTCGTAAAACATAAAGCTCGTAAGGTGTTGAATCAACAAAATACTTTATCTCCATAAGGAAATCAATTGTACACATATATTCTTTGATATACGATGAGGAAAAAATAGATTCTCGTTGCGCAGTCCAAGTCTTAAGTTCGCATCGTTCTTGTCGTTCCATTCGGACAATACCGCAACAGCGCGAACAAAAAGTACAGCCCCGTGTTTTCGAGCGATTATCTGGACGAGCTACTCGAAGAAAAGGAAGTCAGTTCATCTGTCGTTGAGAGTAACGCCCACATAAAAAACCCAGGGTACTAAGAGGTTTTTCCCCGGATTACGTTATCCATTGATAACAGATGCTGTGTCATACGCATAAGCGCATAATATCGGTACTTGTTCGTCGCAAGATCATCACGCGCGGTACTTAACGCGACGCGGGGGGAAAAGAAATCAACAGAGTCCGGGTTGCAAGAGGTGAGGGGTGGAGTGAGTAGCGGAGTGAGTAGAAGATGGAGGGGGTAGAGAGTCATAAGAGTACGGGAACAAATAGGTGACGTACGTTGGATGGAGGTTGCTCAACTTGACATCGCTTTCGTGACGTCAAACAAAATCACTTTACCTCAAGACGAAACCAACTTCTCGTTGCTGTGTTCACACGATATCGATGGCGAAGAAATGAAGAAAGCGAAGAGACAGAGACGGAGCCCAGAGTAGGAGAACACCCGATGAGATGAAGATCCACAGAGAAAGGGGTGAAGATCCAGAGAGAAGAGAGACTTCAGAAGGGGACAGTCTTCGCAAGCCCCGCTCTGCTTCCACCGACTGGCAGAGGACGTCGCTTCTTTGTTCTTCCTTCCTGCTCTCGCAGGCACTCTCAGCTTTACCACACACTCGGCTGACTAACGGAACGAAGTTAATCGGAGCACGTTAGACTCGACGTCCCTTCGTCACTGCTGTCGCTGCACTATCAGTATATGTACAGATATAATATATCGATATCAGTCACAAGATAACGTTTCGATACAGCACTGTCGTATTGTTACTCCCGATGTACTCACACGCGACACTTTAAGTCCCTTCTAAGTACGTGTGACTTTTACGCGAGAAGACGAGATAGAGATGATCGAAGAACAAAGTCGGAAAGAGAGATGAGCGTATTAGATATACGTATATATACGAACGTGTATTATATTTGCCACAGGTCTGTGTATATGTAAGCACTCTCGCGGGCACACGTATGTACGACGACAGAAGAAGAAAACACTGTGTACGTATGCTGTTGTCCTATCAAATGGCTCCCGCCTGACATTTGTACGCAAGCGAGGCCGGACCACGACTGAGCGCGTATGCGAGCCGATACCGGCCGAGCGTGTGGCCCACGATGCGGAGATACCCGACCGAACGTCGTACCGCTACGACACGAGTTCCGAGTCCCTTTTCTCCCCACCGAGCACCATCGTTCTCATCCTCACCCCTCCGTCCTCTCGTCTACCGGTCCATCTACCCCGTAGTCCTCTACGATTCCTCGTTTCCCCTCCGTCACTGGTCCCCTCTATATCTCCTGCTTAAACCCGTACACGTCCTTCGGTATACGAGATACATATACTGCGATTTTTCCCCGACGATGAGCTCTCGTACAAACTTCACCACCGAAAAAGCAATCTACACATACGCGTTCGTATAATCGCTACCTTTTTCTCACGGGATCGAATAGGTCTAGGTTTTGATCGGCACGGAACAGGTGTGGACTCGTGGGACAGGGACTGCTGCTACTGGTAGGGTTAAACAAATCGAGCGAATGTTAAGTGACTCGCGTCCGATTTATGATTCTTGATATAGATATATATCTCCTAATCAATTTGTTTTCACACCGTATCCACACCTGTTGTAATTAGCACGGAATGGTTCTCCTGTATAACAATACCGATCTATATTTAATTGCAACGTCGTTGCCAAGTTCACGAGGGATTGCCCGTGATTATCCACGGTCGAAAAATGATTGCCATTGTTTTCGCGGAGGTCGCGGAACGAAAGCTACGATTTCCGTAGTGAATACGGTGGCGGCGCG